GAGAGAGAGAGAGAGGGGGGGGAGGGGAGGAGATAGATAAGGCGGCTCTCCGTGTGAGAATTAATAGTTAAATAAAAAGGAAATATTGATGGAATTTTAATTTCATCATTGTTTGAGCTTTCACGTTGATATTGTACTAAACTAAATTATAGTGATACGAGACGAATGTCGAACGGAGAATACTTTTGTGCATTTAAATATGATATGAAAAGCACGACATATGTATTTTAGCGTATATTCCACAATATAGTATATCATTATGATGGTGAAGAGAAGAAATGTTACTCATACGGCTGTTACGAATGTGAGAGGCAACTGATAGTGCAGTGACTAGAAATTAATTGCAATTGTCGCTACTACTAGCGATACGAGAAAATAAATTTGTACGATATGTTGTAAATGAAGCAGATATCATCGACTCCTTGTAGATAGGCGCGCCCTTGCACGCGACTTTCACAGTGGCAGCGCAATTACTTATTTTGTCGCATTTACTCAACACCACGATACTAAGGGGTAGAGTATGCAGTTACGAATATTACATTTCGGCGCAACGTTTTAAACTACACGGATTCAATGAAAATCTTTGTCACGACAGAAGTTTCGATTGCCGTGAGATCTTTCAAAGCATTTCACTGAAGTTCAAGTAATTTACCACATATACACGCGCAATGTGTTTGCAACGATTAATCCTTTCAGGACGGGAGACATCTTTTGATGTTCTACGGCTTTCATATATGTATTTAAGAAACTATCGATATTCACAAAAATTGGTATGTAGAGGTTTTTTGGGGTGCTCTTTCCAAATTTAAAATAAAAAAATTGTATAAAATTCAAAATGGCGGATCAAATATGGCGATTTTCAAGATGCCAAATTATGTAAATATGACTCAATTTCCGTAGAACTTCATATTCTCTAAATTTGAATTAGTGAAAATCTTGACTGATTTCCAGTTTCGCTCTTCTTCATCGGAGTTCATTAATACCACACAAACTTTAGTAATCATATCAAGGCCCCACATGTGATCCATATATGACTCATATATGATACATATATGGATCATATACAAACCATTTTCGCAAGGGTAAACACAAATGAGCAAATGTAATCAGGTCGGGTCAGATTTAAAATTTTTTTCCCTTGACCGGCATTTTGAATTTCAAATATTCGATTACAGTTCTCAAAAAAGTATCTTTAAAAAGTTTCATAGTTTAAATTTCACGAATATCACGAATATTTATATTATTTATCATTTTCTTCGCCATATTGAGTCCGCCACCTTGAATCACAGAATTTTAGAAAACTAAGTTTAGATTCGGATTCAACGACCCAAAAACCCATAGAATATGTACTTCCATATAATGATCTCTCCGAGCAACCCCCGTCCTGAAAGGATTAAACGAGTGCACGAACAAAGGCGCTCGAATATATTATTGAGAAGCAACATTTTTCAATACTCGATGGCAATCGTGACTCAAACGCATCCCTAGTAGTGAATGACACTTTTACATACTGATAGATACCTGGCACATATGATCGACGCAATCATCCAAGTTTGTGGAACAATTGAGACCGGCGAAGCCGATCGGGCATTCGCAGCTGTAGTGGGTCTTGTGGTCGACGCATCGACCCCCGTTCTCGCAGGGGTCGTGCCCTTTTGTACAAAAGGGTATCTTTTCCTCGCAGTACTCTCCCATGAATCCTGGGGCGCAGTCGCATCGATAGGCCTGGATGAGGTCGACGCAGGTTGCGTTGTTAGAGCACCTGTTGTTGGCACAATCGTCGACGTTGCTCTCGCATCGAAGTCCCTTGTAGCCGGGGGCGCAGTCGCAACTGTCACACACCGACTGAACGTCAATCGAGACATTGAGCCCGACATGCGATCACGGTGGATCCGCCAAACGTATTTCACCGCGGGCGATGAACCGCCGACGCTGTTCTTCTACCCTATCTTTTCTTTCTTTTCACATGTTTGTAGCCTTAAATTTGTGGATCGGAAACTTATACCGCGTAACAATAAAGGGCAAAGATAATGATCGCTTTTGCTAACTTGAAACCGTATCATTAGTATCGACACGATATGATATAACGTAAGAGACGATAAATCGATATTATGCTCGAAATGAAAAATGACGAGAAGACTTTGTTTGAATCTGACTTGCAACGTTGTGTACGCAAGGCCAACGTCTGCATGCGATGCCGGCGTACACGTGGTGCTTGGTGAAGTAGTAGGCACGTAAGCTCGGTTCTTCGATTTTTCGATAATCGCAACAGCTTCTCTGTTACGAGCGGGTTATTGACAGCGCCGTCGGCAGTTTATAGCCTGCAGTCGTCACTCCTCGGGGCTCACGTGCAGAGGGTCCCGTTTATTACGCGTGCTGAAAGCTGGAATTTGACGAACGCTTCGATCGACTTCCATTCTGGACGCCACTTTAAGCAGCATGGCGCGCCAAAGTCGTCGAAATAACAATAAGTATAAGCGAAAGAGCTTCTTTCTCTCGGTGCGTCCCGCTTCATCGCGTTACATTTTGCGTCCAAGTCAAATTTAAGCTTCAAAGTGTTTCGTCCCGTCTATATATACAAACATCCTCTATCGTGCATATCTACATCTACTTGAATGTCCAAAAACATTCAAGTACATGTTACGTTTACAGGAGTATGGATTTCTCGAACGACTACTTGGCATACGCGCAATGATTTCGTGCAGCTTCTCTACCGATGTATAATAATAGCATCATCTACGATACCGTTGTCGCAACTATCAAGAGGATACATGTGGTTATTGGGATGCTACGTCATTTCTATAATATTGCCTGATGGATTGTTGACAATAAAATCGACGAACTGTTGGCTTTCGTGAGTCCGATCGAGTGTCTCTCGAATAAGATTATTTCGTGCAAGATCGCCGTTATCATTTCCTTCGATCGCGATCTTCTTCCGAGACGGCAATCGAATTCGCCGAGAATTCGATTGCCTTAACAATCGGTATGCGATTAATAGCTCGTTCGTATTGATGGTTCTACTGTAATGGCATTAAGTATGATTCGTAAGAAAATTCGCACATAACGTATATTCCCGATGCACAGAGTTAACGTGAGCGAAAAGAGAAGGAGCGCGGAAGAAGGCGCGAAGGAAAGGAGAGACACGCAAACCCCAGTAAAGCAAGTTTCGTCCAGATACGATTCGATACGACAGCTGTCGCGCAAACGTTCTACGGGTTCCACTGAACGAGCAACTCTCTAAAGTCAGCCCGACGAGCTACCGTTCCGATCGAGCTGTCTCGCGACGGTAGGTACCTGAATCTCCCTTCTTCCAGTACTTTACAAGTTCCGGAGTTCCTGCAAGGATTTCCATAGCACGCGTCAATTTTATGCTGACACCGGTCCCCATGATATCCTGGCGCGCACTTGCAACGGAATTGCCGTTCCGGAAGCGCCTCGCAAAATCCTCCGTTTTGACATGGCGAGGTGTAACACAGGTCGCACTTGGCCAAGACTTCGGCTGGCTGTTGCTTGGCTGCGCGGAAGAAAGGTCTACGATTAATGAGCAACTTTAGTACCCTACCGTGATGCTGAGCCAAAAAACCACGAACTAAACAGACTGCGTCGCGCTGTACTACGAAATCAAAAACACCGTCACGTGCAACAACCATAGTGTGGATCGCGGATCAGTAATGGCCAAGCGCCGAGGAACGAGACGGACGGACGACTTCGATGTCCGTCGAAATATTAAAGCGTCGTTAAATGGAACGGATAGTCCCTTTTCACGTCTAATGGAAAATCGATGTTTAATGGCCCGTTTTACTCGAGAGAGTCTTTTACTCTAGACTGGACTAGACCAGGGACACGCGATCTATGATCTCTTCCTCCTCCAACGGTAAATATCCGATTGAGCGATCCTAACGAATGTTTCAATGAATACGCCAGTGAGTAAGCTCTCACTTGCTGTCTGGATAGTGTGATGATCGATATCGATTATTGTTGCGTCCATTCGGGCGTAAATGGACAACGTTCGATACGACAGAGACTCTCGGTCCCGGTCTCTCGGCCATTCTGGTCGCAATCGAGATGTAAGCTCGTGAGATATTTACTTTTGCATTGAAAGGCGCTGGCCGGTGCTGTCAGAAGCAATTTGTCTCTCATTGCGGGAGGCTCCATGCATCTGGCTATACCAGGCTCCACGTAATCTTTCTTCACCCATTCAGCCAACCACCGCATGCTGCAGTCGCAGTAAAGCGGGTTGGACCCTAGGGCGCTGTAAACACCGTCATCGATAAATAGCTGCGCCATCGAAAACCGAGTGTATGTGCTGTTACGAATCGAACGATACTTACAGATGCGTTATAGACTTGAGATCCTCGAACGCTCCCTCTGGAATCACCGATATGTCGTTGCCGTGCAGTGAACTGAAAATGGCAAAAGTATCGTGCATATTTTTATGTCACGCAATTCTCCGACATGGAAACGCCACAAACAAACTTAACGACATACACATTCGTCCGCGCAAACGAAAGAAGAAGAAGAAGAAAAAAGAATAAACTCAAATAGCCAACTTATCATGACGAGTATGAACCGCGTCGAAAATTTGATAACAATTTAGCAGCGTAAGAATAGCGAGCAAAAATTGTTGCGAGTAACGTGAGGGAATCCGCAACCGTGCGAACGGTACACAAGGGCGAATTTTCGAATAAATTTATTCGCGACGACACGGATAAAACGTTGACCGAGTATTTGCACACGTGACTCACATTATCCGCAGGTTCTTCAATCCCGCGAGGGCATTTCGCTGCACACACTGCAGCTTGTTGTAACTGATGATTCTGCAAAAGAGTAAGTATACGTACATTATACAAAACATTTCTCTCCTTCTCTCTCTCTTACGCGCGCGCGCGCGCGCGCGAGTCCCTTGACAGGACATCGCGGAATAAATGTTCGACTTACAGGTGCGACAGCTTCGTGAGATTCCTAAAGGTATCGTTGGACAGCATTCCGATCTGGTTGTTGCTCAGATCCCTGAAAACGAAACGAAGGACGTTAAAGATGGTGAAAGCCGCCGGCAAAAGATATACAGAAGGTGCACGCGCGCGTATTTTATTTACAGTCTGGTGAGAATCCTCAGGTGGTTCAGCCTCTCCGGCTGGATCGTCTTGATGTCGTTCACGTCCAAATACAGCTCGGTGGTTTCCGGTGGAATCCCGCGTGGAATCTCTGTAAGCTGAGACCTCGAACATCTCACCACTGAACCCGCGCAATTACATCGAGGCGGGCAGTAATCGTCGCCTAGGCAACCTACACTGTCGTCTGGGCATAAAATAGTTGGCGGATCGTTAAGAGAGGATTTGCAATTCAGATTACGTATATTATTTTATCGAGGTGAATAAAGATGCGCGCAGAGAGCCGCGGAGTAACTGACTTGACGTGTGAAATTTCTTCGTAACTGCCATGCGGATAATATGTAAATCGTGGATACAAACGCGCGCTGCAAATTCAAATTTAATTGATATGTATATTGATTGCGAGAGACTTGGCGTACATTCGCGAATCCGTTTGCATGCAAAACTCGCATTGGTTTCATAGGATACGTCATGTTTGCACTCTTTGCATTCCAATTTGATTGACCGTTAAGCGATAACGAGAAATGCGACAATACAAATTATTGAAAAGTGTACGCGCAGCTCGTGTATGCCACACACGCGCGCACACGTGTATGCGTGAAATAATAAATACAAGTAATACAAATGGCGAATATGGTACGTACTGTTGCACTTGAACTCGTGGTGCGGAATGTCTTTGATGACAGCATCTTTTAATCGCGGCGGATCATGACAACGTCCAGTGATACCGACCATATCTCGTTTCCTGAGCCATCCCGCGAACCACGCGAGATAACAGTTGCACGACAGCGGATTACCTTGCATGTTGCTGCAGGCAATACCGAAAAATCGAGAGACAATTATGGCCGATTAGTTATAATTGTATTCCCGCGAAATGTGCGAAATAAAAATTCGATAATGCGCTGAATCGGAGAGCGATTTAAAATTACTTATTCATCATTTGCAAAATTACTTACATGGTGCGTATGTGCGCCATCCCGTCAAATGATCCTGGCATAACGCACGTAATAGCATTACCGTGGAGATTCCTATATAAAATTAATCATGCAAGTCATCATTTCCGTTTTATAAACGAAGGCGAAACGTCGGCGAAACATTGGCACGCCCAAAAGGGATACTCACAGTGTTTTAAGGCTCGACAAGCCGGAGAACATCTTGTTGTGCACTTCTCGCAGCCTATTCTCGGACAAAAGCCTGCGAAAAAAGAAGGCTCGTCATTTCGCGGGACGAGGTGCGTGCACGTGATAAAATGAAAAGAGGTTGCGAACAAAGTTGCGTCGCGTTACAATTTGCAGTCACTCTTTACGAGTCGATAAATATCATTCCTCGAGGCAACGAGCGAGTGCCTGAAGGACACGAAAGAATAAAAGCACACGAGACATTTTCAAGGTAATACTGTGGTGTAACGCTTTTGTATCCTTCCAATTCAGGCATGTCAATCATATTTTATACGATAAATGATGATAAGTGTGAAATACTGACGCACGTCGAATAATATTCTTAATCCTTGACTCGCATGTTGCTTATTTCAGCATTTACAAGGCACAAAGAATCGTGACGTTTCTTATAATCAATATGCGAGTAAAGTAACGACGGTGGAACTGGACGATCCCGCGACATCCCGTTAAACAGACACTAAGAATATCGCTAAAGAAGTCTTTAATTAGAAGTCTTAAAACCGCTGGCATTGTTTTAATAATTGTCCCCGTCGCGACAATACGGCCTTCGAAAATTCTCCGAGAGATGCTCTAAAGTTGGAAATATCGACTAGGAAAGACCGTGTAAAGAAAACAATCCTGACGTGACACAACGGTACTTGCAGAAAGGCTCCCATTGTGTAGGCAAGGGCCAAGTTTTCCAGAAAGACAACGACGACGGCGACAAACTCTGGAGCGATGATAATAATAATGATGAAGAAGAAGAAGAAGAAGACGAACAAGAAAAAGAGAAAAAAGAAGGAGAAGCAGCTGTACGAAAGCGGCATAATTCCGTAAAGGCGTTGACTTACAGGTCGGTGAGATTGTGAGCTCCTTGAAAAGCGGACGCCTCGATGCGAGATATTTTATTTTTCCTAAGGTCCAGATGCTGCAGCTCGGGTAGCTTCTCGAAGAGACCGTCCGCTTTGATCTTGTCTAGTTCATTGTTGCTCAACAATCTGACACAAACACATCAAAAGATATGTGTAGAGCAAGTGGGTCGACTACTGTCGTCGTCGGAGTGCGTTTGCATGTTTCATGTATGTATGTATGTATGTATCGCTGGTTTGTTAATCTAACAGCGTATAGTAAAGAGGGAGAGAGCGAGGGGAAAGAGAGAGAGGAAGGGAAAGAGAAAGAGGGGGAGAGGGAAGGAGAAGGAGAGAGAACGAGAGAGGGAGGGAGGGAGAAAAAGAGAGAGAAAGGAGGAGAGAGACAGAGAGAAAGAGAAGCGAAATTTTGGTACTTTCCATTCGTTGCTCCATCACTTGTTTTCGACTAGCTACCGAGCAATTTATTCGCTACCGCGTTACAACAATGCGCCGTCCAATAAATTTTGCGAATTGCACGCTGAAATAACTCTGGCGCAGAAATTGGTGCGTTACAGTATTTTTCTGCGATATGCCGAACAATAGTAAAATACTTGTAGTTGATTGTTTTGCTTCGCTCGATATTAATATGCTCTCTAACGTTCGACTATCAGCTCGATATCTCTCGAAGGGAAAGAGTAGTCTGTAGAATATAGAAAATGATTCGAAAAAAATGAAGCGAAATAGCAGGCGATTCTATTTATATAATGATTCATCTGTGGACATTGTTTCACGTTTTCGGACCGTAAAGTTTTTAGGCATTCAAAAAATATTACATAATACATGAGATATGTGCGAGAGATAGTAAAGGTGAAAACTGAAAAGCATTTACATCGAACGCTATAATGTGTTGTAGCGCGCGCATGTGTCTATTTTTAAAAGCCCATACCACAGACCGATCATTACGCGGTATCGAGAAATTAATTATTCTCCAAGGCGCCGACGCGATCCATTAAACGGATCGGATGCATAATTTACTGCGAATAATAGTCCAATCTTCATTGTCCTTTTTCCACCGCATTCCACGATTTAATCAGGTGATTATCCGGTTCGACGATCGAATTAATATTCGAGCGAAGCAACGAGGAATTCTCTGCAGACGAATGATATTCATCCTGACCACTCGACCAAACCGTTCCGACTAATCGACAATCGGCTTGTCCGATACTCAATAATCCAAAGCGTGTGTATACTATTGTTTGTGTTCACAGGAAGAAGGAAAGAAGAAAACGAGAACGAAGTATGAATATCATTTTTAAATAAATAAGATATAGATTGGAATATTAATGACGCGCGCGCATTGATTAAATTTATACGTGTCGAACTAGCGTGCCTTACTGTGCGGATATTTCAAAACAGCTTATATGACAATTTTGTAATTATGAAAGACAGCGTTCACTTTCTCGATTCGATTATATCGAGAGCTCGAGTAACACGCGCGAAATACTTGGTAAGAATATTTTTCTTATTTACGACCGCAACTACCTCTTCATCAGCGCGGTATCACACAGTATTTCGGGAAGTAGTAAAAATGTTCGCGCTGCAAGCGCGTGTTCAGTGTGACAAACATAACCGCGCGAAATATATTGCGGATGCTGCTGTATGACATAAATCGAGGTTTGTTTTTGGCTTTCTCATTTTGCGTGCCTATGTTCGTCGTCCACGGTGCAACAAACGACAAGTAAAATATCGCTGGAAGAAGCTTCGACAAAAGGCCGGCACATCTCTTGGCAGATACTTTTTTCTTGCCGATTGATGTCTAGTAATGAGGAGAATGAGAAAACAAGAAAGCAATGTGGTTATTATGGTTTAGGCTGTGTATCGGGCATTCAATTCCAGCGGCGCCGACAAGAATAGCGCATTTCTCTTGCCGTCCAAGATTTGGTGACGAGTAGTTCAGCGTGTCAATCGAGACGAGTATATTCACACACGAAATAAATATCTTAAGGCTCTCTATAGGTAACACTTAAATTTTGACAGTACTGAGAGAAATGGCTTGGTGAATGACACTACACTCGTCTTATGAAAGTAATATGGTGAATTCATATGCGATATCTGGCTCACATATTCAATATTCCGATTACGATGCCTCGACGCATCTGGTAATCAATACCGATTTAGTTGTAGATATCTAGACAGTTTGGTAATTCTCTCTAGATGTGTGATACTATTGACGCGATAGTTAATTGTTACTCGCTGCGACGTTTCCTTTTTCACTTATACTAATTTGTAAAGACGTCGGTGCTATAAATGAGTAAACGCTGAAACCGTCAAATATTTGGAAGAATGAAATTTCTTAAAATATGTCGACGAATTTAGAAGTAAATATATGATTACAGTAAGTATATGAAAATTATATGGTTAGATTTTAGGTAAGAAGTCTAACACTACTCCACAATTGTATTCATAACATTCACCAAACGAATTGTATGCTGTACCAGACAGTTTGGTAAATGTATTTAAGCATTACTGTAATGTTACTTAGACAATGCGCTCACCAGATAGTTTGATATCATTAACTAAATATCTTGTTACATGATTATTCACCGTTTGGTAAACCTAAATAGAATTCTGGTTAGTATCATCAGACATTTCCCTTAGTGAGGAATAAGGCTATTAAGAGCCAATGCTAGATGTTTTATGCAAATACTCAATAATGGAATCAATGCGCATGGGAGAGTATTAACTCTTATAGTGCCGAACAACGATATATCGTTGCGCATACGATGCTGCCGGACTATCCGCGTCGCGAGAGAACTCTGTCTCAAAACTAATTTTATAAGACTATGTATACGCTAGAGCAGAGCTCGGAATCAGTTGCCCATTTCGGCCGATTCTCGGGAGCTACGCCTTCTATCTTTCCTTTGCCGCTCTTTTTTCTCAAACCCAATCAAACTACATCAATTTGGTTCGGTATTTTACGCTTAGGTATATTTTTTTCGGTTGGCACTAAAAGGATTAAAATAAGGGGGTTTTTAATAATTATAATAATTGTAGAAAAATATTAGGGGATTTAGGGTCGGTTTGATAATGGAAGATTGATTCATCGTGTACGTCGTAAAGACCGGAAAATCATTTCGGCGCGTGCGTTTGCTACATTATTATCCTTCCCATCATAAAACATTTGCAAAAAACATCCAGCATTGGCTCTTAATGGCCTTATTCCTGTCAAAATTTAGGTATACTCACAAAGTCGACGTATAGAGCGGCAAGTCTTTCGGCATCGAAGTTAATCTTTTGTTGGAGCAGTCGACTGTCGCACCGTTGCACGTGCAGGGCGCAGGACAAGCGCCAGGCAGGATGCACTCGCCGGCCCTTTTCGTCAACAGTTCCTCATCACCTGTAGACAAAGTTTCGGAATAGAGTCAAACTCGAACAATCGCGCCTGAACAACACTTCCGCATCTCTCGACGATACGAAACGCACTCGTTGTGACACGACACGACACGTCAATCCGATGTCTCAGTAATGTCTCAGTCAGGTAAAACGAGAGTCGCGTGTTCGTTTCTTGATACGCGAAGGTCGGTTAGACATAATTATATGGCGAACGCGATGATGACGATGAGGATGATGATGTCGTTTCGTTAACGATAAATTTTGATAATGATGAGCAGCGTAATTAATGACGTCGTTGGACGAACCAGCCGACGTGAGATGCCGTATGTATTCGCGCGTTAATCGAGTGTTTAATATTGTGCGTTAGCGTTGAGGGCTAAATATGTTTATGTATGAGTGCAGCTATGGCAGAGAGAAGTGATTTATCATCGTATTATACATCACATTATAAATTGTCGGGTGTGATTTACGCATACATAATTATATCGACGATATGTATACAGTATGCATAATGTTAGTTTGTATAATAAATAAATAAATAAATAAATAAATAAATAAACAAATAAATAATAAATATAGAAACTTTTTCTCCACGGTGGTTGAGAGACAATGGAGATTTTTACACGTGACGTACACGAGAAGAAAGTAAGAAAATTGAACGATGCCGCGAGAACTAACCAAAAATTGACCTCGAGGGGATTCTCTCTTCCGAGATTGAAACTGCAAATCGACAGTGGTAATGTTGATGAATTTGTCGCGCACTTGATTGAGATAAGAAAAAGTGACGATCTATTATTTGCTGTTATTGTCTCTCCCGGCTCGTTCCGGCAAGCTTTACAAATGCGAGTGTGGCTCATGCAGCGACATTCGTTTCCTTCAGAGAAAGGAAACTAAAAGTACCCTCTGCCCTTAATTCTCGCGAAATCCTCCGTAAAGCAGTGGCGCGGATGTTGTGTAAATTTTTGCTGTGACTGGAGGTGCAAGTTACGAAAGTCGTTCGCAAGTTTTACGTCGGTAGTGTAAGTTCTTGTTTGCAGAACTGCACGCAGCGGTAATGCGCGTTTATACCGGCGTTATGTGTGCGTATATGCACTATACCGAGATATTTATTTTCCGACATCACCCGCCGACTCTGAATCGAATTTTGCGCAAAATGTGCTCGCGATGCGAGTCGCGGAGAACGAATACTGGTGATACCATAATCTTTCGGTAGCTCGCACGTCAGGCGTACCGCATAATTCGCGTAACGATCCGCATCTTGTTCATTCAGTAAGGACACGCGCGAATAAAACGCGAAGGAAAAATTTGCCTCCAATTACACATGTGTACTATCGCTAAAGACAAGGTAGATGCAAACTACCACAAGGCAGTTTTGTCGTTTTCCAATAATTGTAAATTTCATTCATATCAATTGAAGCCACTGATTGCGCTGGATCGCGTAAGCATGCCAGATTTTTTATCTTTAAAGCATGCGGTTGATACAATCGTGCGAGAAGTAATTTACTCCTTTCCTTTGCGATGCTTTATATATATATATATCCGTTTGCGCGACTATCCGGTATGTATCCAAGATGTTAATAAGTATACGGCGCCTTCAGTTAGGTTTTGTATCCCATATATAACCGAATATACTATATAACGGCACATACAGAGCGGCGTATATACGTTTTTCGGAATTGTCTGGTGTACAAGGAAAGTGCATCCGGGTGAAACTTGAAGCCACATAAAGGGGAAGGTTGGAAACTTTTCGGCATTATTCTCGAACGGATGCGGCAAATCGCGCTGGTAAAACGTATCGTCGTAAAAGATGTATTTTGCAAAAAGAATGTCCGTAAATTCGCGCGATGAATTCCTGAGACTCGTGAAAGTTCCTCTCACGAGTCACTAATGAAGAAGTCATTAATGAAGAATGGTGACACATCTCTCCAAACGATGAAAAAACGCGCGCGCCGCAAATGGCAGAAATTTCCCATATTATACAACGCTTGTTTTTCAACACCAATCATATCTTTTTCTTTGTCAATAGCAATATTATAGATCTAACATGGCGTGTTATGTGTACAAATGACAGGCTGTTCTTTTCTTGCCGCGCGATTAGGACACAATCGGAAAAAAAGGACAACAAACAAAAAGACGTCCGTGTACTCACTCACATAGAGAGGTAAAGTAAATCAATCGTCCTTTGTGCGTACGTATGTATAGCTTTGCTACATACGGCCGAGTGATTTAACAACTGTTGTTGTAGCAACATCGATGAAACCGAGCCTGGCAGCCGTGCAATATTATAACATAATGCACATGTAATATCGTAACATCAGCTAATGTTAACGCATACCTACCAGGTGGGATCTATTTTACGATTAACGAGATATATCCATCGGCAATTGCACGCGCCCGGCAAAGTAGTCAGCATTTATCAAGGGGTCCTTGGGTGGCCTTGGCTGCACGAGAACCTATATAGATTGTCTGGTCATCTGTTCTCGACGTGTCGACAAGAACGAAGAAGAATCGAGACAGAGAGAAAGGAGAGAACGTACGTATCTGAATATGGGATGCAAGAAGCGATCCGAGCAACGTGAGAACGATGGTGGGAATATACGCGAAAATGGAAACCGTGGATCGGCTGCCGGAAGCGGCAGGCCGTGTGCCGTCGTGTCGTGATTGATAATAAAGTGACACGATCGATCAATTCGAGTGGCTCACATCGGTTTTCGATATATCCTCCCTTGGTGAGGGAACGAATAATATTTCACGACTCGTCGGATTAATTCAATTTTTCATTACGATTATCCGCTTTTTATTGCTCCCTATTTGTAGAACGAGTCCAACTTGGATGGCAGCCAAGCGATCGCAATATCAATGATGGATAATTAATGTTGGATGTGTGTGTATGTATGTTGAGAAAATGGCGAGGAAACGTGCGATGACAGAGAAAGGGAGAGACTCAAAGGTGTCACTCGAAGTGCGACGACAGATCGACGGACAAAAGGGACTCATTTACGTGAAAATATACTCTTTCATTCTACCTCCACATAAACTACCGACCTGTACCGACACTACTCTGCCGAAGTGTTAAGAAGAGATATACCGGAAAAATCGAATCGTGCTTACCCTTACATTTGAACTTGTCGTCCCGCATCGAATCGATCTTTCGCTTCTGCGCTCTCTTTGGCATTTCGCATTTAGCACCAGATGTCTCTATAGGGTGCGCGTGAAGGTATGCGCTCAACCAGCGTAGATTGCAGTCGCAGATGAACGGATTTCTCGCCAAATGTCTACGGAGAGAGAGAGAGAGAAAATCTGGTTACAGCGGAGACAGTTCGAGTGCGAAAATATCTTGCGATTTATTGATTCTTTGATAGTTGGCTTTCCTGCGTGAAAGATTCTTAACGTTGTGAATCGCAAGGAAATATCTCTACGGGAATGTTTACGCTAATGATACGAACAGCGTTTTAATGCTTCGCAGGTTGGCAAACGTCCCATTAGCTAATGAACGTATATTGTTGTCGTAAAGAGACAACAAGGTGAGACTGGTCAGGTCCTTGAACAGGTCGGTTCGTATGCACGATATCTCATTGGCATTCAGCAACCTAAAACAAGTTTCGCCATTATTTCCAGCGGTTCCATCCAGATTTCTGGTTGCGATACTTGGCGAGAGCGAAGGCGATGTGTAAAGCCGCGAGACCTATGTGAAGTTAGCCTCTAATATTAAAAAGAAAAGAAAATAAATTTTTCTATATCTATTCTGTTTTAGAGATGTGCGAATCAAAGATTTTGTATGTTGAATCAAATCAAAATCTCAGATTTTAATTTCGAATTCGAGTCGAATCGATTTGCAATTTTTGAATTATTCGGATTCCAATCATAGGGATTCGAATCTGAATAGTTCGCACATCTCTAGTTTATTTATCGTTTGCTCGCGAATGCCCCATTAGAATTTTTGTTTGCTCCCTCTTAATTAAAAAGTTACACAAAGTTTAATTTTTTGGGAGGGTTAATCGATATCGTTTGACTGTAGACTTGCGAGTTGTTAGCCACACTATTAAATATAATCCCCTAGAGCTACTTACAACAATTGCAGATTTGTCAGTCCTTGGAAAAGACCAGCTGGTAACTCTGCGATTTTATTGCCGTATAAAACTCTGCAACGAAATATGTGCCCGCTTACGATCACGTATACTTGCCGCCAAATTATTGTTACTACATATATACACATCAAAGAAAAGAGACACATACATGGATTCGAGAGACTTCAGTCCATGGAAAGCATCCGCCGCTACTTTTTTGATCTGGTTATTGCTCAAGTCACTGCGGACGAAAAACCGGAAATATAAAAGTATGAAACGTTTCGTGCGGTCAAATAATAGGCATACTCTATATATATAGTATATATATATATCGTATACGTGTTAGAGCAGGTCAGTCACGAACGTCACTCACATTCTTCGCAATTTTCTATACGGCGAGAAGGCCTTGGGTGGAATTTCCGTGATGCCGTTCTGCTCCAACCGCCTGCGGTCAATCAGGGAAAAACAAATTACAGGAGTGAGTTGGCGAATATGCACACTACTTATTCTAGCGGCCGTTTCATAAGACAGCCGACTGTTGACTTTGCGTTTTGTTTTTCTCTCTGGCGTTTTGCCCCATACAACGACAATGAATTGTAGTTCTCTTCTCTTTCGCGCGTAGCAAGTATACTATTTTGTCTTCGTTGCTTCTTCTACCGAGATAGATAGACATTATATATGTACATTCTCTAACAAAAGATCGATTGGAAATATTATTACTCAAGGTGGGATTTATCGCGACAAATAATTGTGCCTGAGAAAAGCACAAATGAAAACAGTAAGAGATAATTCGAAAGAGGAGAACGCTTATTCAAATCGGCCTGCGTTATCGATAATACGCCGCTTGTTGAGCTCGAGCGAGAAATAAATCTCAGACGAGGAACAAGTACAAAGCGCGAGCACCGCGAGCCGCGGTTTCACTTACAGTTCAGTGGTGTCCTCGGGAAGGTGGGTTGGCACTTTCGTCAAGGAGTTCTCCCTGCAATCGACGATCCCATCGGCACATTTACAAGGATGCGGGCACTGGGGCTCAGCGCTGCATTCCGATCCCGTTCGCTCGACCAGGCCTGAACACTTGAACTCGTGCTCCTGCAAACAATGGGTTTCAAAGTCGTATTAAGCGCCGAGCTAACAAAGAGCGTTATCGATAAATCCAGTCTAACGATTGCCGCAATGTTTTGTAAAAATCCATTCTTAAGTAGTAATTGAAATGTTAACTTGGGTGGAACACAATCATTTTGTGTACAAGATTCCTACACAGTCGTATTATACGTGCGTATATATAGATGCGATTTAACGGAGTGTATTCAATACATATTAATAACAACTTGACACACAACTAATTTACATTAAAGTCTAATTACCGTCACACATAATTGCACGGAAAAAAAGAATTTGCTGCAGCAGCAAACTAATTTACTACATACGGACAGTTAAACATAATTCGCTGTGTTAACTACTTTTTCTTTGCTGCGGAAATCTATTTCTTTGCTGTGATAACAAGAAAATCTGCTAGTAAGAAAAAATGGCTAACGCAGTAAATTTGCTACAGATGAACAACTAAACATAATTTACTGCTTTAGCTACTTTTTTTGTTGCAAGAGCAGATTTTCTTGTTATCATAATAAGGAAATTGGCTTCTGCAGAAAAAGTGGTTAACACAGCAAATTATGTTTGATTGTCCATATGTAGCAAATCTTTTTTTTCCGTGTGCTAATGTGTATGTGTGATATTATACACAAGTACGTAAACTCTAGTGAGAAACGAGCGTTTGTGAATTCTACAAAATGGAATTTCAATCGGCGGTAACGTGACTCCTCGGACTCACCTGCAGATCCGCAAGATTGCGATCCTTGAGATGAACCGGAGATGCGCACCGCGTATGTTGCCCTAGGCGAGGGTAAGTTCTCAAATGACGCGATAACCATGCTAAATGGCAATCGCAAGCTAGTGCGTTATCCGTGAGCTTCAAAGTTCGCAAATGTGACAAGCCGCTCAGCGTCTCTTTGCCGAGGGTCACGAGTTTATTGTTGTTGAGCATTCTGAAATGAATATTCAGCGCGTTGATTTTTTCTCTCGCAAACATACAGACGTAAGAATATTATTATATATATATATATATATATATATATATATATATATATATCACGAATGACATGAACAGTCTAGACAATCTCGAAGAATTGGAAAAACTTACAATATTTCCAAATCTTTCAGTTCTCGTATCGAAGCCTCGTCTATACAGGTCAATACGTTGTTGTCGAGCAATCTAACGAGAGAAAGAAACAATGCTTGATGATCTAGTTGATCCAGTAACGACGATAAGTACGCGATAAATCGGATAGACTTGTAACTGATTTGCATCTTTTTAATACTCGTCGCATCTTTTAAACTCGCTCAAACTCGCAATGCGAATTGTGCGACGACGGACGCAAGTTAAATTCGACAATGCATTTGTCATAAATACAAATGCATTGTGACGTATTTGAAACTTAATCTTTTGTCAGACCACGCTAGCCGCAACGCCAGTCAAGTCGTCATATGTAAAATATCTCGCGCATGAGTTACAGCGTGCTGTTGGACTATGACTAAATGGTCTCGAGCGACAGAGATCGTTACGGGACAATCTGTCTTTGTGGTGTAGCGCGCGAGTATACATCCGATAAGGTACTTACAAATGTCTGAGAGCGGACACTCCTCTGAGAGTCTTCGGTCCTATAGTGGCGATCTGATTGTGACTGAGGTCTCTGCGATATAAAACAAAACACAGTAAGTGTCGATTGTAACTCGATCGATGGATTGATTGTATCTTATTTTAACAAACGCGTGACAATTTTTATTACTTATTAGTTAATAAGATGTAACTTTTTCAGCTACATTTTAAACGACACGATATGAATAAGAGTTGTTAAATAAATCGAATTGCTTGCACTCGCAGTAGTTACTTCGACCTAATTTCCTCACGCTCCTTCGTTCCGAAGAACCGCTTAAAAACGACCAAATTAGCAAAATCCATCGGCGTCACGTTCGCGTTAACCCGCGTGTCCGTTGACCTCTCGGCCTTTACGCTCACGGAGACGGACGACCACGTTCTCCCCCATCATCGGTGGGTAGCGATAGCCGTTCGTTCCACTTTACCGCGACTGTAGTCGCGAGTTCGTCCTACATTTTCGATCAATTATTCAAGAGCATCGAATGCCGCGGCAAGTGTCTTCTCCGCGAGCGCGCGATTATCCTCCGCCAAGTTGTCGCTGGTGCGTGCGACCGGTCGCACCAGACGATCACGTGAGCAGTTATAGGCTCGCGAGCGCGGTTCTCATCGTGACCGGGATCGTTATCCGCGTAACGAGTGACCGTTTCCACGGTCTCACGCGACACAGTCGTCGACGTCTTGCAAGTGCCCGCAAGTGCTTCATAGTCGCACCAAGTCCCAAAGTAGTTTCGAATCATGTGAAAGTCGTTTTGCAAAAGGTTAAAAAAGAGATACATCGGTTACTACTTTCAATGTAGCGATTGATTGGAGATTCATCATTTCCTGCACGCATCATCTATTCGTATCTCTGAATTATCTCGCGCGCGTGCGCTCGTGGACAGAAAAATTATGGACAAAAACTTTCCGTCCATTACCGCATACATTAAAAAAAAAGACAATCTAAAGAATTATTACAAGCTACCGTGCTGGATTGTTAAATAGGTGCTGAGTTGTTCATCGGTAATAATTGGTAATAATAATATTGATTGAACAACTATAGATTGGCCAAGGCTCTGTTGTAGAGTCTGACTGGATACTGGCGCATGGACGTGAACAATCGTGGGTTAAATAAATGATGCAGTTGAAAGATTCCGAAAAGCGAAAAGTGTGCGGATATCGTGGTATTATGAAACCTCTTTCCGAAGTCTGAGTTAATCAGAGACTCGTGATGATAGGTAAGGGGTTTCGGAGTACGGCTAGGCATTGACCATCCATTGGGTCGAAACTCGCAATCTGTAATTATGTTCACGGGAGGCAACACGGCGGATGAGAGAGGAAGAGAAGAATAAGAAAAATGCGAAATGCGGAGAACAGAACAGAGAAACTGGAAGAAAGAGAAAAAGATGACGAGAAAAAAGAGAAAAAGGTGAGAGAAAGAGAGAGAGAAGGTGAGGAGAGAGGGGGAAGGAGAAAGAGAGAGAGAGCGAGACTGGGAGATTGAACTCCCAGCCCGCTCGAGCCAATCCAGAAAGTAATTACCAAATTTCGACGCGGACGCGGACGTACAAAGGGAACTCGCGTCATTCGCGTTCGAGTTGGTCGGCGCGAAATATTATTGTCCCTGCAGAGTTTGATCGCGCCATCGAATAAGCGTTTGTCACACGCTGCGCGCAATAAAAGTTCATCTCTCTAGAGCACTCTGCGAAACTACGGGGAGCGAAATTAAAAATGGTCTTCAAACTATCGATTATCAGAAAGTGTATCTCCCGCGCGATATCATCTATATATTCGTCATTCTCTTACCGTGCATGGGTAAAAAATGTCTTTACTTGAAATGATATCAGAATCTATAATGTCAATGCTGCTTCTCTATCTTGCGCTCGATATAGTGTACTTATAATAATAATGCATTCAATTGAAAAGATACGGCTTTCTGCAAAGAGACGCAAGAAACATGAGAGCGTAAAAGCTGAAATCGGCAACTCTCGATATACGGAAACTTGGGATATTAAATTCCCAGGGCGCTCGACACAATCGCGAGAAGCAATCTCCAAATTTCCAAGTGCCCACGCTGATTCGACAAAGAGAACATACTAAAGCTCGTCTCTTTCGAGATATCGTTCGTTGTTCCAAGCGATTGAATACTCACTCACGAATAAATTACTCGCGTTATTACGTTATAATTGTATAAATTTGACTCGAAAAGCTGAGAAGCATGAATTGAGTATAAATGAAGCTACATTTACGAAACTAACGCGCTATCAAAGTAATTCTTAAGTCGACACAAATTACGTGAAAGCAAAAAAAAAAAAAAATAAAATCTCAATATAAAATATACGATGTAACGAAGCTTGGTACTTTAGAGATCAACAACAGGAGCGCGACATTTTAAACGGATTCATAATACATGAGCCTCTCATCATCGCAGTCGACAAGCTCGACAAACTCGCAGAATGGACGATGACAATGACTCGTGACAATAAGATAACAGGGAAAACGAGCATATCGAGAGTGTGCTTCATGTACCTTCCGTATCTCTCATACCTTATGGTAAGACTGGGGACCTGAGAACTCCCAGTTCGCTCGAGCCAATCCAGAAAGCAATTACCGAATTTCGACGCGGCCGCGGTCGGGTCCGTGCGAAACTAACAAAAGGACTCGGTGATCTTCGTCTCTCTCTCTCTCTCTCTCTCTCTTGCAAGCAAGCAACCCGTCCAGTTCCGAATGTTGCTGGAGCTGTTAACTGCGTCACCGCGATAAGAACGGGACCAAACGAGATTCGACGGATCGCGCGTATCGTCCGTTGTGTATAACAACAACAGGTGCCCCGCGTCTCATCGCAATCTTTTCTATCCTATAGCCGGTGGTATAATCGCGCTCTCAAAGGATTATGAAACTTGAGGGAGAAGTCGGCGACGATACCGAGAATTGCAATCTCTAGCCAGCCGCGTATTCTTCCAGACGAGACGGCTTTATAATGTTATGCGCGAGGATGCGTAACAACTGTACGATAACTATCACGGTTGTTGTGAGAAAGTAATGAAATATGAATCGCGGTTGCGCGCTGTGCCTCCTCTGTTTCTCAATCACTCTTCCCTAATTTGCGATTCGGTTCGTACTTTGTCTTTTTTATCAGCTGAAGCGTACAGCGGACAAGTGTTACAACGTCGTAAAATATAAATTTGCATATTTACAATGGAAGGATTGTGTTGAACCTCTTATTATCGTATGGTATAAGCATCCTCTCTCTTATCACGTGGAATATCGTACCTTTCTTAACGTACGTTTGCGCGAGATGTTTGTTGCGCTTATCGCGACTCCGCCGAGATCACGCGTCGAATTTACGAGACCAGCACGCAATCACTGATCGCTTAATCATCAGATCCACAACTCTATTATCGGTAATTTTTTTACTGACTGTTTGGAAAATTGTTTCAATTGACCGGTGAATGTGCACGTATACATCCTATTGCAACATTAAAAACAAATCAATTATTTTAACACAGAAAAGGACACGAAATGAAAAAGATAAAATGGCGAGTTTTAGAAGACGGAGCCCGGTTAATCGGTTAAAGTCGGCGAGATATCTTGCGAATAAAGCTCTGAAGCGAGTAGTCGCAAAGTTGCGAATTTTTTAGTTTTCGCGTCGAGGTGGGACGCGCGCACGGAATCAGCAATCTCTCGCTCCTTGATTTTAACGGCGTTTTATCTGCCCCGGATTATCGGGCATCCGTGAGAATGCCGTCGTAAGGTCGCAACATAATACGTTCGTTTGTAAGATGGCTGATCCAGCCTTATCGTCGGAAACTGCAGGTTATGCCCGAGCAGAGCCCGAGCCGGGCCGAACTGAGCCGAGACGGAAAGTTTCGAGTCCCGTCCGTCTTGCCCACTTTGCAGGATGATAGATGGACGATCTCCTCCTCTTTCTACGCTTTTCTCTTTTTCTCCACCTCCGTGTTTTTACTCCCTGCCTGCTCTTTTTGCTCCTCTTTTTCTCGTTGGCACTCCCCGGACTCCACCACCCTGTCATCCACGACGAGAGAAAGAGGCTCGTGCACTTTTCGACCGCGTGGCTGGCAGCTGCCGGGAACACCAGGAATCTCCGGACGGAAACGGTGTGCCGCTCGATCGCGATAAAGGCACGATAAAGGCGATATCGCGCTGTTGCTCGTCGCGGCTCGACTTGTCTCTATGTTGTTTTTCTCTGCAAGCGGGTAGCAAGCGTCGTGCCGCGTTCGATTGAGATTCCGGATCGGGAAGAATGTTACCGGGCGGTGCGCGTTCGGAGGAAAAGCAAGCCGGATGAACGCAGCTCCGGCCGACGATATAATCACGGGATCGGTATTTCTTATGACGTCAAGGTGGCTCTTCTCGTTAGCGGGAGAAGAACCGTATGTCAGATGCGGTGAGGACAAGTCGCTGGTAAACGCTGTCGGTTTAGGACTGTCACACATAATATGCATATCCGTAGCATAAGATGCATATGCATAGCATAAGTGACTAATGAGTATCTAATGAGTATCTATAAAGTAGCCATTTTGATTTGCAGAGAATGCTCATTGACCGAAACGGTCTTGTGTTATATGCAGCTATATTATGTATATGTATTTTATGTGTGACGGCCCTTACTCTCAACGGATAGCTTATGGATGATAACTTGCGCATCGTCTCCTCCCTATCGTGCAACAGTGATCGAAAAGATGCACTTAATCATATGCTGACAAAAATAAACTGCGCTCTACAAATCATCGATTAACAGTTGTTTTTCCATGTTGGGCAACACGGAGATGCTTGATTGCCTTTTTGTCGATGGGGCAATGGTCCCAAACGTAAGTTTTCTGGTCTATTCATTGCATTCCGAATCAGCCCCCGTTAATAAGACAGCCGGCAAACGATAGCGCGCGCGTGCGCGCCCACCTTCGCCCTCCTCTGCCTTCTTATTCGAGTGGTTAGTCACGGAAGATGGAAAACAGTCGGGAACGTCGCGTGCGAATGCAAACGCGAGCTACTTTGTCGGTTTGTTGTCGGTGGCGTTGGCGTGTCGTTGCGTATCGAGCGTATCGTTGCGTATCGAGCGATCGCCTTTAAGAAGCTAAACCCTGGGGTGAAAAGTCGCGTATGTGTAGCCACGCGTACGTTCGATCGCGAAAAGTCTAGCGCGCGCGGTGGGTTTCGCAACTGCGAGAGACCGCGTTACCTCTCGCAGTACATACGATAGGTATTTAGGTCGTCTGAAAAGTTTATGCGATAATCCCCGTCGTCGTGCTTAACATAAAGACGAGAGAGAAAGAGAGGCAAGGGGAGAGAAAGGCGGAGGAGGGGGGGAGGGAGAGAGGAGGAAAAAGAGAGAAAGAGAGAGTGGGAGAAATAGTGTAAGAGAGACAGCATGAAAGGGGGATGGAGGGGAAAAACGGGAAGAAAGGGATGAGGAGAAAAGTCGGAAGAGAGAGGAAGAGAGCACACAGGGATAAAGGGTGAGGGAGGGAGAGGGAAGAGAAAGGGAGAGAGGGGAAGTAAAATGGAGAAGAGAGAGAGGGGAGGGAAGGAGGGGAAGAGAGGAAGGGAGAGAGGGAAGGAGAGGAAGAGAGGGGATGGAAGATTGCGAAAGATGAGGATAGAGGGGAGGAAAGAGTCGGGAGGTTGGTCGGAAGAGAGAGAAAGAGGGGGAGAGAGAAGCGGGAGAAGTATAAGAGAAAGAGAGAGAGGGAATGGGGAGTGAGAGAGTGAGTAGCGACAAAGGGGGCGCAGAGAAAAGAGGAGAAACAGAGGATAAGGAGGACGAGAGAAAGTGGGGTCGGATCTAGAGGTGTCAACTTATGCGTGGGTCTAGCGCACGCATTCGGACCGTTCCTCACATATAATTATTCTTACAAGATGTCATTTGTGCGGAAATACGCGAGTCACGAGTCGCGAACGCGCCAAGTACGGATGTTGCTGTGATATCGCAAACCTCCGTGACGTTGTAGACTCGTCGCAACATACCTCGTATCTCGCAATGTTGCGCTGCGCTATTTACCCGCGTGTTATATACCGTGTACCGCCACTGACATATCGTATAAATCTCAACGGCATAATATTTCCCGTTCGCGGCTCTTAACGAATTCTCTCCTTACACATATCGCACCGGCGATGAAATATTTCCGATTCGCGATACCTAGCGCGCTGTAACGCCTGTCATGCACGTTAGCGAGACGCTAATGGCTAAAGTTAATGGTCATGAATGTCGGAAGATATCCATCTGTAATTGTATAGCGTGTTTACGCGAAGGAAGGTCGGCTGTCAATAAATCTGCATAGAACTGCACATTTTTTTCCGTCTAATCTAGATTACAAGTGGAAAAAGCAAAATATAGATTCGACTGTGTACTTACAGACGTTTCAAATTCATCATATTGCTGAAGAGAAGATCGGGTAAATGGCGTATTTGGTTATTATTTAGACGTAGCTTCTCCACTGCCACTAAATCTTGAAACGCCCCTCTCTCGATGGTGTGAATTTGATTGTTGGACAGCAATCTGTAGACAATAGATAGGCTCAATGTGCAGCAAAACGGATGATATTATGTGACGTGTTACGTGATAGTAAAACGCTTTACGAATGATTAAAACGAGACACGAATGATTATTGTGCACTGATATCAAGAAAGAACACAGCTTTGCTTGACGTAAAAATCGATCAAATATATTTCTCCAATGCAACTTGTATCGAGACGTTCGTAATAGACGCTTGTTTACCGTTTACTCGCTATCCAACTCGACGTGATTAATCGATCAGCTAGGCTTTAGAAATTCTTTAATGAAGCAATCAATTAACAATTGCTGAATACGTGTCAGAGTAAAATGATAAAGAGTGCACTTACAAAACGTGGAGCGTTGCCATGTCTTCGAAATCTGTCTTGAATATCACCGATACATTATTTCCTTGAAGATCTCTGCAACAAAAGAAACAAATGCCAAAAATGAAATTGGATATATTTGCTTCTCGGTAACTTGCTTAAAAACTAACAAAGTTGACAATCGTTAGTTGTCGCGATATAACAGCGGGAATAATGTGACAAACATTTTATACTACGTACGCGCACACACATGTGTAATGGTACCGTACGCGTGCGAATACCGAGCCGCCGTGCACTTAAAGCTTTTGTTTCTTGCAGTGCACACAGTGCGGTGCAATTTTCTCGCCATAAGATTCCTTCATACACAACTCTATCGATTCAGCGAATCTAGTTTCACCCTCAGCGCGCGAAGTAAAGCGGCTGAACAATCGTACTTTGAGAGAGGGAGAATGACGACTGCGCTTGGTATCGCTGTTCCGCCAATAAAGGGTTATACCTCTCCGTTACTAGAAAGCGTGAATTTACTCTTCATGTCGAAAAAGGAAAAGACCGTGAAGTAGCCGTCAAACACAGCTGTACGCCAAGCGTCTGCCTCCCTCCGGGAAGTTATTAAGGCCTTATTAAATTGGTTCCTTTTCCCGGGGAAACTTTTTACCTGACAAAAAGCACGGAGAGCGAAAGGCACAAGAGCGTGTAAGTAGACTCGGCCTACGAGCACTCGCTCGTTCCCTTTCTCTCTAGCGCGCAAATTTCTCCCGATCTGACGACCGACGTAAATTATTCCCTCGTTTTCGTCCGCTGACGTGTAATTCGTCGATGACAAAGTAACGAAGCTACAGTTCCGGGACCTGTGCCTCGCGAGTGAGACTCGATTCGTATGATACTCGAGACGCGACACGGAATTATATTGATCGTAAAACGTTATTGTACTTGATCCTTTAATCAGTAAATTTTTTCTTCCATCATGAACGGACACAATGTTGTACAGTGTCGTATTATTTCGCATGAGGTTCCTTCCAACACGAGGTTCTTTCTGCTTTTATTTAATTTAATCAACAGCTTTTCATTGTTCCAATATATGTCATGATCTCACTGGTCGTATCTGCACGGAACCTTGCAAAAATCTTACTTTTGAGAAATATTCGTTTGGCACCGCGTGTCCATAATTTGAACTAGAATAGAGATACTTTAGAGGAAGGTACGGAGGATAAAAGAAGAAGAAAAAAGAAAATCATCCGTGTTGAATTGGAACACGGGCTACTTAATTATAATATCCTGAGAGATAATGACTACGCGAGTACTTTCCGCTAACTATATTAAGATATTAAACGCCCTCCTTAATGCGTTGCAGGTAATATCTAATTACGAATCATTATACTAGAAGGAAGCTGCAAATACCTCCCGCGGGAGGAGCATGGCCAATTGCATTATGGAATCGAGGTCCATCGAACCTCGACGCATAATCCACTTTATCGTCGATTCGATTAATTGTCGACGGGATAAAACGGTGACGGCTACCCAGCGTCTAACGAGAGCTTTAGGAACTAACTAACGAACGACGTTGTCTCTCTCCTGTTATCGTAGTCACTACTTCCCATGGTTCTCTAGTAGAATGGGCGCAGTGACGAACAATGTCGCCGACAGAGGGATGGGCAAATGACGATGCTTCAGCAGACGCACAATCACCTTTATACCTTTTGTATTTACGTGTTACATACGTGATCCGCAACGTCTCGTTGGATTTCCCGTCGGAAAAATGACGGACAATGACGGAAGCAGGACCATTTCTCTATTTAGCAAAGCATTCACTTATATTGAATACGACCATCATACGACCATCGTACGGCCGGTTAAATAAAAGCTCTCACGGTTTTTCGTTTCGGTTGAAAGTACAGCGACTTCATTTTGTCACTTTTGTCGGCGAAGAGATGCGAATATGGAAGAGCGCGACGAAACTCGAAAACGTTCGTTATTGTCGCGATCATTCGGAATCGTCGACGTCATCCTCTATGGCGAGATATCAGGGTTCATGGGCCAACCGCCAACTCGCGGAATAAGACGATAACTTGGCCTGCATCGTTTACACGACGGATTTGCGCTTCCAAGAAGCGTCTAATGTGGCTTTTCGCGGGGACTCTGTCGTCTCATATGGTGTGGTTACGCTCAATTAAAATAGCGCAGCATTTTCTTGGAAAGTAATAACAGCGATCGTTCGGGCAATCATCTTGTATGGGGAAGCTCTGCTCGACGAACTGAATAGTGGAGGAGGAGCGAGGAGTCGACTGCCCGAAGCGATAGTTTGTAATTCGTCAGACGAGACAAAACTTGGCGATATGCTGATGTCGGTTGTGTTTGCTCCTTAAATTGATCTGAATCGATCTGTCGACAAAGTTTTCGACGCGGGTAGTTTGCCAGACGTCAGCCAAGGACGAAAATCGGCGCTGATTCGTTCAACTTCCAACGCGTGTGAAATAAGACCTTCCGCACAGACGACAGTCAGCTGGAGTCAGCGTAAACACGCCTTTCGCTACATCGAGTAGTAATGTCACGGTCTCTCGGGCATCTATTTAGAGAATGCAGCTTTGAAAAGTATCGATCCAATTCGGCGTACAGATATTGTTGCCTTATACATCGCGATGAAAGAATAGAATGGGACAAAGATTAAGCAACCGCTTGTCATCGCTTGTCGCCGCTTGTCTCTGCGTTATCCGAGTCCCAATGGCGTCCTGAATGCGTATTTTCATCTCGTACTTTTGCCAGGCGACGCACGTAATGGCTAACGTAATTACATCTCGCGTCGCCGGGACATCCGCTAAATGCGTTTCCATGGGTTCTCCGCCAAGGCGAGAATAAGGGGTGCGCGCGGATGGGGAAGCAGGAGGGAGCAGCGAGTTGCTCGACGGTGGTAAATTCGAAGGGATCGGAGGGGCAGTGACGGGCAGGCACGGTCCAGACAACGCGTCCAAGAATAAGGTGTTGGTACGTGTCTATATTTGACTCGCGGCGGGATGTGAAAGGGGATAGAGGGAGGATAGGCTTGTCGGCAGATGTAATCAAAGTTTGCAGACAACCGTCCCCGGAAACAAGAGCCTCCCCCGCGAGCAACACGGGGGATAGCGTCGCGGGATCGGCCCCGGATATCCGGTCGTATCTTACGCGACGCGCCGTGCGGTGTCGATACGCCTGTGTGTTTAATGTCGTAGAAATGTCTCCGGCCCGGATAAAGCCCGGCCGCGACAAGGTGAGACGAGTCGCGATTTCCTCGCACAGCCGCTTCCCACTCGTCTTCCCGTGGGGATTTGGGAAATCGAGTGATTTATAGCTGGCGATTATATTCAGACTTTGCGAGCGCGTCTGGCATCATCTGCTCGTACGTACGCTAGGAAATGCGCGACCACCATAATCCGCCATTTACCATATGCGCGTGAAATTGTTTGGGGCGGACGCGAGCTAATTCATCGATCAAGATGCGACGGAGATAGTTGAAAGTTGATTATTGCATATTCGACTGCTCGTTTTTGCGACTCGGTCTCTGCAGCATCGAAATTTTGCGAGCGGAGCGAACCGGATAGACAGAGATGAAGACTGCGGGCAGGCAGACGGTGAAAATATCACGTCAGACACGACGAGAGAGAATACAGTCTTTCGTGTGTCGACGCAAAAATGCAAATGGAATCTTTTGATTGAGTTTACCGGCGAGATGCCGACGACCTTGGTCGTTTCTGGATCGATAGAGGAGAGCGGACAAAAGAAAGGCGTCGATTCGACAACATATCGACAGCCAACGCGAAAAGAACGTCTCGAATGGTTGAGCGGTTTTCAGACAATGTTGTCGCGCGAATCACCTCACGACGTAAGGTAGCCCTTGCTTAATGGAGCAAAGCGTGATGGAGAGTGACTCATAACGTCGTTTCGCCGGATGTGACAGTCCGCACGTATCGCGAGACAATAATAGCGAGTGTTGAGGGCAAGAACACAGTTGATTCACGGTATAGCAGGTTTGGCGTGGAAGGCAGACGGCGTCTTCACATCACCGTCGTTTTGCGTTCCGTCCAGGAACAATGCAATTAACATAGTGTTTAAACTGAAGCTTTGGCCGCATTACCGTGGAAAGTTATTGCAGCGCGGGAGGTTGCAGCGCAATAAACACACACCGACTTCTGAAACATTCAGACGGGACTCTACGCTGTAACGTAGTGTCGCAGAGTCCGTGTTTGAATTTATCGGGCTGGCGTGCCTCCAGATGAAATTTCTTTTTTGTTTCGTCGCGGCCGGTCATTCCTCACCGCTGCTGCCGCGTGTCAACTCAGTAAAATCAAATATTAACGGCCGCCAGGATGTAGAATCGCGCCCGTATGCTCGAGTATTTACGGTGTGATACGGTGACGCATCAACTGTGATATATCAACCGCGCGGCACTTTATACGTATGTGAAAATAAAGCGCCGCCGGGGACGAAGAAACTGTCCGGCAAGAGCGGAAAGCGCTCGACAACCCGGTGCAATCAATAAAAACGGTGGCATTTGTCATAACGATATCGCGCGAGACAAAGAGAGACCAAAAGAGAAAGAGAGAGAGCAACTTTAGCATCAAACTTTTTATTATTATGAGAGTTGGAACGTCATGTTTTTCCCTGATGTATCGGCAAATCAGTAATTTGTTGATTTATCATTATATTTGCACGCGAAATTTTTAGCGACTCGTTCAGTATGAAGCAATGGATTTCATCGGATGCCTGGACATCTGGATATCGCTGGATGTTGTTGTCGCGCGAATTAGTGAGCGTACTTGAACTTGGATGCATAGGCTCACATAGACTGGTACATGTCTAATTGACAGGTCGATAAATTTAATTTTCAATCGATTGCTAATTGAGCAGTCCGTCAATGGCATTGTCTGAAATGCGACATCGATTTACAAACAGCCATTGTCCTCAACAAAGGAATCTGTAGTCCCGAGTAGCTCCATTCAAAGCGAATGTCATGTTTCTTAGACGCAGTCCAGAGCAGCAATAACAATCGCTCTGCTTGTGGCGCCTGGCCACTAATTTGCTGTATGCATTTTAACGTTTCCCTACCAGCTGCGTGTGACGGCCCG